GATAGTAGGTTGTAATAATGCAGAGAATAATAGCAAAAATATTTATTGAAGAGAGTAGAGGATACAATGTACGCATGCAGTTCTTGGTTAGGTGTTTGAAAGGCAATGATCTAGTTATAGCCTTGACTATATATACAATTTTAATTAACAGCATATTTGGTGGGAGTGGTTTATAACAAACATTACGTTAGATATTCCTTTGGATAAAGAAAACTATTAAAATCCGATTACAACAAAAGGCTCTGTTTGCAACATTAAGCATTGCAATTAAGATTGGTTCTCAGACAAAGAAATTTAGCTTATGAGTGTGCTTTGTTGCCATAAAAAAGGAAAGGATGTTCACTCAGATAAAGATAACAAAGAAAAACGCATGAAACAATGAATTTGAGGAATGTAGGATTGGTTAAATGACTCATGACATTGTTACAGTTTGTGTGATTGATTTGTACATTGGTTTATTTGATGACTTTATTTCATTTGGACCTTCGCGATATTCGAAATTCGCGACAACAATAATTAAATTGCAACAAGTTGCACAATTGAAAGAGGGAAAAAGCACTTGGAATCTATGAATTCAATGAAGAAATGTGATAACTATCGGGTTATTTTGGCTATTATATAAGGAAAATCTATCAACTCAAACAACCTTTTTCTGTTCTAAATTTCCTACAGACCATTTTGTTAGTAACAATCTTGATTCTTTCCTAAATAAATACCGCATCTTCAACATAAAGTCTATTGAGGTGGTAATCATTTTGAAGCAATCATTCCTTTGAGTAAATATGTCGAAGTAATCGAGGTAATAAATAATAATTTTGCTAATAATAAAATAAAAATTCAATATAGCAAACGATTTTCAAATTTCAAAAACTGTGCAGTATTGAGCTATTAATTAAGTAAGGTGCCGTTCTTGAAGTATCCCTTACTGGTTATTATCAAAAATTTACGAAATCCTTGGGTTTTTATTCGATATTGAAAATGCAATCGAAATTATCGTGAAAATTTTGGAAGAATTACAAGAGCATAGATTAGACTGACAGTCGAAGTGACAATACTCCTCAGGATTTAGATTTTTAGTCCAGAAGAAGAGGAATAGGTAGTACCACATATTGTTGATCTATAGGTCAATTGATCTGATTATCAATGTTCACACTATTTTTTTCCTTCATATCATTTATGCATATTGGGTTATTTTCCAGTGTGCAATTGTTTCATTGTTAAAAATGCAATGAATATAGACTGATATGTCAACATACTACGTCTTAATCTGAATTTTACAGTTAGATTGTATTGCTCCAGTTGATAAACTGTAGAATATAATTGGTAGAATAATGAGTTAAGTTATGAGACATACCAATTCATTTAATGTATCTAACCTGGCTACGAAATTTCAGCTCATCTTCGAACTTTGCATAACCTGGTAGGAATTTTTTGAATTAATTCAAGGAATTTGCACAGATCGAACTGATTTTAGAACTATTAATTTATTGAGAATTTTGCAGGTAGTACGGTATGCATCACAAGGAGGGTATGAAATGGCAACACCGCTCTGCAAGCAGACTCTGAAAGGTTATGCTTTATGTGACGTTGAAAACGGAATGAAGACTATGGATGAATCGTTTTTTATTGTAATTTATTGGGGATGATGATTTGATTCGGAAGCATATCAAGTGAAAAAGATGAATTCGTTATAGAAGATGAAAATAAGTGAATAAAGCGTAATGAATGATGAAAGGAAGAAGGAAAGAGTAGGTAAGGTAACTAGCGCAAAATATTGCTAAACAAAACTAATTCTGATAAAATCTCTCGAATCCTAAGCCATTTCTTCTAGGCTAGCCTATTACAGAGATAATTATGAATTGTTGGTGAAATAATTGTCAAATGTCAACTTTCTAAATTTGTTTCTCCAAGATCGTTTGTATGGATTGTCTGTTTCACGAACAATTGTTGTGATACATCATTGTCAAAGTCTTGTCAAAGCTTAATACTTGCAGGGATTTTTCAGTAAGCCGTGAAATTACAAAATGTGAAAAAGTGGAGATAATCGATTGTGATATTGTAGTGAAATGGTTTTGCAGCGTTAACACTGAAACAATAACAAGTTCATTGGTTAATTAAACAACCTGAGATAGCTAAATTTCAGGAATGCTATAATTTATTTGATATCGATATCGTACTATTCCAAGTATGCTCGAAACAAACATTCTCCCTTGCCGTTATCACCAAAACAAAGTGACAATGATAGCAATTATGTGATAGAAACATGTCTCATAGGGAGGAAATAAATCGTTATAAATCTTTCTATTATGCAGTCTGAGAGATAAGATAGAAGTCGAGGTAAACTCAAGGTTAAACAACATGCCAAAATGAGGAAAGGGAGTGATGATAAACTGTAGAAGTGATTTAAAGGTCACATCATTTTTCATAAATATTATTATTATTACTAACAAGTATTTCGTGATGAATGTATGAAATATAAATAATAACGTAATTTGATGATACAGTAATAACATTTTAATTATGCAGAAAATAATAATGGAGAGAAAGAAAAATGATAACAGTTATGATAAAAGAAATAATTGGCATAAAATAACACATAATACTAATTAAGAGGTGGTTGTTATCTTTGAATGATAAAGCAAAGTTTGAATTTGATATGAAGCTTGAGCGCAAGATTCCTTATTTTTGCAACAACATATCACCTTGCTTCCTTCGGGACCATCTAAATCCTTGTTATTCCAATTTAAAACAAAGCATCCAATTTCTGCAGCCACTGATACTGAATCGCAGAAAATTGAGTTATCTGAAAAAAATAGCACTTTTTAAAATTACTAAGAGAAAAGGAAAAAAGAAGACACAATAAATATAAGCAGATAAGATTACAGTTAATCTCTTTCTTTTTATTACTTTTGTAATATTTAATTAATCATTGTCATCTTTCTTTAACACTCATTTTTTTCTTAAATAAAAATTTCAACGGGAACAGAAAAGTGCTAAGGATCGGGGTGCATGTTATAGCTAATTACAATGAAATGGAAATGTAACGAAATGATTTAAAACTATAAAAAATGAAGATAGTTATTAAACCAAAATGAAAAGCTACTTTACTATTTACTCTTAAGATAAATGAATTAACAGGACTTGATTTCATCGTAATATTTGAATGATTTCAATGATACAATGATTATGATACATTTACCAAATGATTTCGGTCTATGATTTCTTTCGCTTTTTAATAAATCAAACTCGTTCGGAACACATTTCGGATGTCCATAAAAATTGCCTGTTTTAGCTGTAAAAAAAAAAGAAAAAAAGCAGTTATAAATGAAAGAATGCAATAAAAGGAAAATATAGCATAAATCACGAGAATATAGTTTAATGATCATAACAATTTACGACAATCAATAGAATTTTTACACTCTCAAATCTAAACTTTTAATTAAACAATACCATCTCTGTTACTCATAATTTCAAATCAATATATCCTTCGTTTTTCTTCATAATTTATTTACATCAACTTTTTTCATATGTATATATATATGAGCAAAATTGATAATTAAACTTACGATCAACAAGTATAGCTGCATAAAAAGAAGACCATTGACACAGTAATGAGCCACGTAAATCAAACACGTGACGAGTCAGATAAGGTTTCTGTAAAAATAAATTTTGCAAATGTATCATTTCATTACCATAAATGTTTCATGTGAAACAATGAAGATAAGCATAATTCGAGAAGTAAAAAGCCTACTTCATAATATCCTTCATTCTCCATAAACGTTTTTATTGTCATCGCGATCATTTTTGGACCTTGATTGCACGGTAGTGCATCAAAATCGTAGGAACGACAAAAACAAATACCGGCAGTGGATTCGAGATTATACCACCAGAATGTTTTGCAGAATTTTGTATCCGTACCGGTCATGCAAATTATGTAATTATTAAGAAGAATTATAATTTCAATGGCACTATGAAATAATTCACTTTTCCAAACATATAAAAATTTCAATGTTTTAACTATTTGGAAGAGACAAAATTTGAGTTTCGCCAGTAATTCAATATCATTTGATGTAAACTTTTAATATAAACGATTCGCCATCTATTCAATTGAACAAATGGCAGATCGCAGTGAGTTGTAGGAATTCTAAAAATAATGGAAGATTAATAACAAACAAATTGAGCATTGAAAATGCGATATGATTGAGATGCATTTCGCTTTCATCCACCATTTGTCGTGTTACAGCATCACCTGTGATATTGAATCGTGTGATATCTAAATGATACTAATTATTATTTTATATTTTTCCATGTTGAAATTGTCTTTCTTTTTTTATTTATAAATTTAATTGATAATGAAATAGTTCAGTCATCATGAGCATATATTGACTAACTTGAATCCTCGTCAAATACTGGGTGTATAAGCACGAAGCAATAAGAAGTGTGACGTGCATATACCAATTTACTTTTTTTCATCTCCAGCCCAATTGCTTCAAATTTCGAGCACTTTGTTAATAATTTGATTGGCTATAAGTTCATTTGTTGACAATTACTTATTCACTTATAATGTCCTTTTTACTAATACGACTAAACTAGCTATTGTAAGAAAGCTTGCTAATTAAAATAATTGCAAACGATTAATTTAAATGAATTAAATGAAACGAACAAATCGTTTTGCGCGATCCGCAATTTCTGTTGCCAACTTTCGATCACAGTGATTGCCATTGTTTTGGAGATTACAACTGCATGCGAATATCTTTATTGGCATTTTATTTGTATGGAAAAGCCTTTGAAAGCAATCAACTGATCTTGTTATGGTAGATTCATCAATCTGCAAAAATTTTAATCTTTCTTCATCCATGAATTCTTAGGTTTCATTTTATTGATTGTCTTACTAGCGAATTTCAATTACTCATTAAAAATAGGCTGATAAAGTCTTTTTCATTCACCAATCAATCATAAATTCATTTACATTATACAGCTAGCTATATGAAACAATAATACCAAATAATGCTTTCAACAATTCTTACTTCCACTTCCACATAACTGCAAGTATCATTTTTCAGGAAGGTATATGAAAAATCGATCGGATAAAATCCATCTCCTAAATAAATTTTCAATTATCATTTTTTTTCATATTATTTGCAACAATTAATATACAATAATATATTGATATACCTGGATATGAATAAAAAATAGATCCATTTTTGAAGCTATTTTGACTGACATCACTTATTGTACTGCTATCAATATAATGCAATAAGCACACATCATAATTGATTGTCCTGATAAAATACTGATTGAATAGATATTGATATCTATCGTTATAAAAGCATTTTGGACGAGTACTACTTTCATTGGCTAATTTGATGTGTATATCAGGCTAAAAGTTGCATCAAAGATTGGACAAAAAAATTATGAATCTTTCATTAGCTAAGTGATATTAATTACGCGCATTACTTTGGTTAAGATAACTTTGACTAGGTTCATCCCACTATCTTTCTATTGTGGCAATTTCTATTCAAAAAAAAAAAAAAATGAAAAAATGTAAGTCCGTTCAGAATGGAAAAAGGAAAAACTTGCATTATAATTGCAGAAGTGTTGATGATCACAACAACATACTATATCACCCTTTTTGGTGGCCTGAGAAATATTGAAAGGACAAAAGTCATAATAATCTGCAAAATGATATTTGTAACTTATTTCTGTTAAATTATATTTTCCTAATGAATTGTAAAATTTCGAATTATCATTGTATTATGACATCGTATGTCTCTACCAATCATTGCTATAACTTTGATTGTAAAGATAGCTTTGTTAATGAGTAAAATTAGCAAAAATCAAGCAAGGAATATTCAGCTAATCTGATAATCTTTCATTATCATCCTTTTTTGAATTACAAACTATCAGCTTATCTGTTTACATCTGCAACATTTGCGCACTCTATCAGGCTATCACTGAAAAGGTAGCGCAAATCCATATATCTCTTCATCAATAATAATTTTAATGTAATCAAAGTGTAGATTATTGGGAGAAATTAGTGATGATTTAAATCTTTAATGGGTTATTAATATTTGCAAATTCGCCTACTTTATCTTTTGCACTTTTAAAATTTTGAATTTAAAATTTGAAAATTGCAAGTTGATGGTTCACTTTTTGCTGAGGAACAAAATGTTCTGATTATTGGCCTATGACGGATATCTAAAAGGCCCGATTGTTGACATAAATCTTCTTGAACATCAAATTTAATCAAATTCTTCCGCGTCAAGCGCATATAACAATACTGCAAATGATAAATGTAGCGAAGTTGATTGGTCGAATTAATTATGAAAATCCTCATTTACCTCACGTCCTTACTATTTACGTAAACTTCAATAACACTTTCAAAGTGTATTTCTTTGTGAAAGTTTTCAAAAACTTTTCCATAATGTTATTTAGTACTAGAAAAGTTAAAATTAAACTTGCACTAGAAATTATGCGGTTCAAACTTATCGATAATGTATTTATAAAATGATCCCATGTAATGTTACAAAAAAGCTATACGATAAAATATAATCAGTTACCTCATATTCATTCAGTTCTTCCATCCTCGTGATCATTTTTCGTATGGATATCGTAAAAATTACATTGCTCTCCTCCTGTTTAGCTCTGTAGTTCATATATTTTTTATATACCGTATTTGCTACATGCCGTACATACCATTGATTCATACCTTTTCTTATTTATTTACTTATTTTTTGTTTTCGTTTGCCAATTATAACATGGAAATAATTGTTGCGCAATATAACATAATACTGTATGAGTATATTCAATTTAATGAGTAATATTTACATATTATTAAAGTTGATAAGATAAATTGAAGTTGACAAGCTAAAGTAATACTTACATATTATTTGTGGTGACAGGCTAATTTTGAAATCTGATAAGCTAAATTTGTTAAATTGGTGATTTTTACGATTAAAAAAGAAAAAGAAAAATTCACAAATAATTCCAATTCATTAATTCAATCACTCAATTACCTATCGTTCTCATTCTTTATTTCTCTATGTCTCATTTCAGCAAATACTCTCATAAATAGTATTAACAGCAACAAACTATTTTCTTCATTATGTTAAAGCTATCTTAGACAACTTTTTCATGTGAATTTTTAAATCGAAAATAAAATCCAATAAAATTTACGCGTTTTCTGCAATTTTCATTTCATTTAAAGCACAAAATATCTTATAATTCGTCGTGGCATTTTTTCGAAATAAACTCGCCGACTTTACTATAAATAAAATTAGCATTAATAATGCGATATGCAAATAAAAATAATAGTAGGAAAAAAAAATTAAACTTATGCGATTAGTTTTATAATCACTAATTAATGTTTACTTTTTCCCTTTTGGTTTTCAGTGAGAAATATTTGAAATGAAAATGAATATTCTACGGTAGTATTAGAAGGCTATTTTCATATAAATCATGTTGAATTTCCACGTAAAATAATCATTCAAGCAGAAAGAATTTGCAAATCTATGATATATAATTATGAATAGTTAGATTATCAGCACTTATCAGTTTGTTTGATAGTTTTAAAATATTCAGCGATTAAGTGACACAAATGATTTTATTATTAGCAACAAAGGATGAGTTAAAAAAATGTGATTGGTAAAATAACAAATGTGCTAATAAAGAAAAGAAAATGATTGAACATACTTTGACATTTCGCCATTTCCTGATTGTAACAACAGCAGAAATATTTGAAACTGGTCCGGAATAAACCGAATGTACAAGTTCCTGAAGTCTGAAAATTTGAATTTCAACCTGACAGATGTAACGATAAATCTTCGAAAAGAACGAAAATCTTCCTTTTTTTACAAATTTTTTTTCTTTTTTGCTCAAAACATAAAAAAATTAAAGTTGACTTATTTGATTAGATAGAAAATGGATAAGTTCGTTTAAACAAAATTTGTTTTCTTTTTCTTCCTCATATACTTGAAAATTTAAAATAAAACATGAAATTGTAAAATCTAATTTTTGAATGTTTGAAATTGTAAAATTTCAATCTCGAAAGTTTAAAAGAAATATGAAATTGTAAAATTTGATTTCCGAGAACTAAAAAATACAAAATTTAATTTCATATTATTAAATGTCTTTATTTAGCGAACACCAAATAGTTATCAAAAATATCTGATCTATTTCCTTTTTTTTTCTTGCCAATTATTTCAAGCTCAATAATTTTTGCTCAATAATAATAAACCGTTGTTGTGCGAAATATTTTGAATTTTAATTCAAAAAATCGAAATTACAGTTCGACTAACTTGAGTTAAAAGAGCATAACTCATTGAGCAATATTTTCCTAAAGAATATTTAGCGACAGTTGCATTGTATTGTCCCATTCTTAGTATATTTTCAAGCTTTGACATATATCTTTGACCGGCAACTGGATTGATAAATTTTTGCTTGCCATAAGTAAAACATACACCATTATTTCCAGTTACTGGTATCTGCATAAATAGATAGCTTTAAAGCTCTAACTTTTAAAATAATTGAAACAAGTGGATATCTGACCATTAATCTCATCATTGATATCCTATTCGCTTAGAGTTGTTATTTTTAAAATCCATTTCCAAATGATTTACTTGTCGGTAATCTTCTGTTATACAAGTCTTTGGTTGATTAATATCTCTCACGCGTTCCGCCATTAAATAATCATTCTTTTCAGCCATCGATTGAACGATCGCATAACGATGAATGAGAAATTGTGACTTTAGATGAATACGCCAATTTTGTTCAGTTAATTGTTGACAATTTTCACAACAAATTATAAACAAATCCATGAAAATATTATTGCCAATCTATAATTTGGATATTTGCAATTATTGTATTTCAATGGAATATAATAATTATGGCTATATGATAATCTATCAATTGATTGGATTCGGTTGGAAATTAGAAAAAATGATAATTAACAATTCAAAAAATAATAAATAAAACTATACCTCAATATTCAATAGTAATCTTTATTTAACGTATATTTTAATTATCTATATATACTTACTATAGCTACTAATAAAGGAAGGAATGAAAAGACTTACCGAAATGACTACCTCCTGATATGGATCTTTAAGGTTTGGTACAAACCATAAATGTGAGCATAAACTACTTCCAGCATTATCAAGATGCATAGCAGTAATATCATTTTCATTCGGATCATTGAAATATAGAATATCGTCAAATCCTCCCGTAAATTTTATACCATAAATGCACATCACAGGAAATTTTCTAAATATTAACAGGATATGACAATGAATTGATTATTTAATTGAAGAATTAAATATTAGTAAAAATGAGATTCCAAAAAGTGAACATTACTTGGTGTAATTTGATGTCATATTTGGTGACTGACATTCAACTTCTCGCCGTTCAGATTGTTTTGTAGTCTGAAAAAGTATCGAATACTTTTTTTTTTAGCAAGAAAAGCAAATAAAAAAGGTAAAATATTTGATGAAAAATTGAAATAAGTTTTCTTTTCATAAAATTTTATCACATGCTACTATCATTATATTAAATTAATTAATTATCAAATCGTTTGTTGTAAAAATTTTAACAAGGAATTAAATTGATTCTTTATACAATGACAAGAGCAATTGTTATGATCATAATAGAAGAAGTAAAATTATAAAAGAAATTAATCTCTGACGCATTTCACAACAGCATAATTTCACTTAAATAATGTATAAATTTCTAATTTCAACTTCTGTATCTTAAAAAAATATGATTGCAATTTTGTTTTTACTTAACGCATCTGATAACTAGCGGAATATCCTGTAATTAGAGCTCTCATTTAGAATGCTAAGAGATCTAATCGAAAAGTTTTATTTTTTTTCTGAAACTTCTTACAAAAATTATACTTTATCGAACTACTTTTAAATCCAAACTGATCTTTGCTTCAACAATTCCTTCCTCATATTTTAATTTTATATCATTTCGCAAAATTCTCATAATTTTGAATAAAAAACCATTTCTTTTCATTCATAATTTGATTTTTAATGAAAACAAACAAACATTTGATAGAAAAAAAATTTAATTTATTTAGAAAAAAATTCCTGAACAAAAGCATTGATCATTCGCGAAAGCTAACAGTTTTTATCGGAAGAGAAATCGGATGTTCTTTCGGAAGAGAAATCGGAAGAACAGCTAAGCAAAATAATAACAGCCACATTCTAAGTAAACCGTTCAATTGCTATCTTCAATGAAACAATGATTCGATTAACTCTTATAAATGCTTAGAATGTTTACAATAAATAAATTTCATTGTTAGCATTAAATAGTATGAGACAATTTGGATGATAATTTAATTACAAAAAAAATTTTTTAGATGGAAAATTTGCATTTTAATTTGAACAAACCAAAATAAACCATATTATCAAATTGTCACAAAAATAATTTGTAAAGGCATTGTGATATACTAGATAGTTCATAGTGGAAGAAATGAAAGTATTTGTAATGTGTGATATGATTTATCATGAAAATATTTTCGAAGGTATGAAACCTTGATGATTTCTTTTTCATTTCATTTTCTCAAATAAAATTTAAACCATCGATTACAATGGAAATGTTTCTTTGTAATGTAGAAGAATGAAGAAGATAATGTAGACTTTGTAATTGATGAAATTTCGAAATTGATTTGTAAAATTTTTAATTTCAAACTAATATCTTACCAAATATTATAACATTCGACAATTTTAACATAGAAATGGCGTTGCGAATTGCACATAATGCAAATAAGGAAGATTTCTTATCATGACAATGAAAATTTAATTATCCGTTTTAATAAACTTTTGCACTACTGATAATCCTTAATTACTTAATCAACTACAACTATCTCTTCGATTTGTTAAAATTATAGGACAGATAACTATCTCGATGATACAGATTGGACGATAGAATTTTGCATAACCTTCCGAAAACTCAATTGATATCACCGCCAGTGCTTGCTTTTGTCTTTTCTTGCGATTTGAGCGCACGTGCATGCAATCACAATTGCAGGCTGTTATCAGAAGTGATGAAATTCAGAGAGTAGCAGTCCTGTTGTATGTTTTTTTTTTCTCCAAGAATTTGCACCATGTTCATGCTCATATTTTGCATATTCAACAAAGTTAAACACAGATATCTTTGATTAACTAGCAAAAAAGTCATTACAAAATTATTCTTTTATATCTTTGATAATTATCCAGCAGATGTTGAAAGGTTCAAAAATTTAGAACTATCAAGTTTAATTAGTTTACTTTGCATAATATATTCACCATTATTTTGCTCATCCTATTTGTTAAATAGATTTATATAACTGCTAAGGCAAAAGTTGGTGCTTTTCTGGCTTAATTAAATTGTAATCAACCTGAAGTTAAAAGATGAGTAAGTTTTGAAAGAAAACGACCTGAATTTTGTACTTCAATAATAATTTAAAATGAAAAAATTTCGAATTCGAATGCTTTTAATTTGAAATAAGGAAAATAAATTGGAATAGTTTTACGAGTAAAGAGTACTTTCCTTTTGGATGATCACATACACACTTAACATTTCCGCTCCTCCCCTCTACCTCTTCCGTTTCCATTTCCCTTCACATTAAGTCATTATCGGAAAAATTTTTTCTTCTCAATCCTAAATTTTCAATTCGTCCTTATTTCGCTTTCAGCATGGCCTAGGCTCATTCTAGGCTTCCTCTCTCATCTTTATTATGTTTTGCTTTACTTCGCTTCCACTTACATTCTTCCTTTTTGTTTTATAGCGGATCAGATCTTCCCTGTATCATTATTGAAATTTAATAAATAAACATTAGTATAATTAACAAATAACAATTAACAATTAATAGACTGGAAGAATGGACTGAATGGATGAAATGCAAGTTTAAATTATCAAAATGAAAGTAAATGGGATGAGTTGAAACTAACCTTCAAATTATTGACTTCAATCTTTCCCAAAGTTTAATTTGCAAGATAACAATGCTTCTAATACATCCTTTTCTAATTAGTAATTAATTGACCATTCAATTACTGTTACTTCCAATTTAATTTTTATTTCTTTCCAATTTCGCTTCATTCGTTCCATCGTTATACTTTACCTCGCAAGTTTCATTTCATTTCCATTATCTGTTTTGGTTTGGTTTTATTCGACGATGAATGATTGGAAAAATTTAATTGTAATAAAAATAAATTTAAAAAAAAGCCATTTCATATATTTACTGATAAATCGAATATTTATCAATCATCCTCTAACGTTAAATTATTCATTCTTTCACGTAAAGTCACATTATTTAATCTTCCACGTAACTTCAATTATGCAACCTTCTATGCAACATTCAATCTTTCACGTTACGTCAGACTATTCAATTTTCCATGCAAAACGCATAATCCCAATTTTCGACCATGTAAAGTAAAAGCAAAACTATAATTAGTTCTATTAGTAATTATGAGTAGCGTCGCATAATGGTAGTGTAACGGTAAGAAAAATGTATTATTTGCTGTGCAAAATTTTATGTCACATATTGATACGTGTGTTTCGTACGTTTGCACTGAAGTCTCGATTAGTTTTTCCTTTTTTTTTGTTTCTTGTCTTCTTTCTTCTTCCTTTTATTCAAATTAATAGATTACTTGATCTATAGAATTTCTAGCCGACCATAGAAATTAAAATGATGTGAGCTAATCATTTTAAAGAATTACACTAATTTGAAATTACAAAATTTTATTTGCTCCAAAAGTATTTTATTTATCATTTCAATCAGATAGATTCGGTTAGATTTGAAATTTCTGTTTTGAGCTGATGATTTTTTTGTTTTTATTTTTTTAAAATTTCCTTTCGAGAATTGATGGATGAAATGAAAATTTCACTCTTAAATTTTTTTGCCGAGATGGAAATAAATTTTTTTATTTGTAAAATAATAGATGATAAAATATGATATGGAGAGTTTATCACTTATTGCTCTTCTCTTTCAAAATTTTTTTCCTCGCAAGAAATTAATAAGAAGAAAGGGAGAGCTGATTAGAGCTGTTAACGATTAGAGCTGTTTCGATCACGTTGCATGGACCCTCTGAACTGGATTAAATATCTCTTTTTTAAGATTAAATTATCTGTTTATGAAGGTTAATGTAAAATTATTTATTTAGGAGGAAAACGTAAAACTATTTGTTCACGAAGGTTAACATGAAATTATTTGCTTATAAAGGTTGACATCAAATTATTTGTTCATGAATGTTGACGTGAAATTATTTGTTTATAAAGTATAACGCTGAAGTTATTTGTTTATAAAGAGTGACAATAATTTCTTGTCACCTATGGTACTCATATTTTCATCACGCTTCTAATGTTGATATCCTTTCCAATGTTTTTCTTTTTTTCTTTTTTTTTTTAAGTTCATTAGAACCATTGAAATTGAAGTTGTTGTACATGAGATTTATGGTTCAAATTTAAATTCAATTTTGGAAATTAACGAAGAAATACTGGACTGAAGAACATAATTGTAATCTCAACAACCCTAAACAGTTCTTAAATTTTTATTTTCATTTAAACGGATTCCACTTTTTTTTATCCGTTAAACTTGTTCACTTATCTCGTCATTTTCTAGAAATTCCTCTTCCTTTTTCTTCCTTTTCTTCATTTGACTGGTAAGGATCATTTAACGAATTATAGAATGATTGAAATGGGATAATTTGTAATGGCGAAAACTTCACTCAATTCATTTTAAATAAAGGAAAAAAAAATGTAGGAACAAAAATAGTAGGTCATTTATCATTAGCTAAAGCATTTGCAAATGACATTTTTCTATTGACGTATTTTTTCTTCCTGTAATGTAAAAAGATATGAGTTATTGATTTTTTTTGGATCGATTATTTTTTTTTTCTCATTCTATTTTTATTACAATAAAAAAAACAAATAAACAAATTGTCAACATTTTTGTTTGCTAATATTTTTGCTATAATTTGTGATTTTTTTCTTCGCATATTTGAATTAGTGTAATTAGACGGATAAATTTTTGTACTTAAAATACTATACCAGATAAGGATTATCAGTGATCATTAATAATTTTACTAAATCAATTTGAAGAGTGATTGTTTTCGCCAAATGATGGACGGACGGACAAATGTTTGCAAACAGATCGTTTTTCATTTTTAGCTATCTTTTATTATTATTACCGTAGGTACAACTGTCATGATTATTGTTTGTCAATTGTCTATTTCTATCACCCTATCATTCTCATTGTTATCTTTACCAT